AACGCCACGGAAGGGAATTGGATGATGTCGTGGTCCTTATGAGACCCCTTCATCCAGGGCTGCTTGCAAAATTACCATTCTACTAGGGAGACGTGGATAAAAAAAACAGAAAATAACAAACACGAATGAGGTAAATTTCCATTCACCTGTCAAGATGTCACCACTAGCTAAATTGTTCGATTTATGAAATTTATTTCAGTTTGAGAAGGCGTTTGACAGAAAATGCAGAAACAAACGTCCCCCAAGTAGGGGTCTGCCATTAAAAGACGTCCAACTTTAAGAAGACAAAGCTCGGGTTGGCCATATTTTGTTTACGTTAATTGTCATAGACCCATTTCGTGTCGAATATGGATGGGGTTCGCAGAAGAAAACTAATGTGTTCGACGGAAAAATGAATACTAAGTAGAAGCTACTAAGCAGGTATTTACACGCATGCGTCCCAAGAGACAACGTATACAAACCTACCTACTTTTGGATCCTGTCATGCCAGCCACAACTGAGCACATAAGTCGAAATATGAAGGCAGAACGCAGCTTAGCATTTGCTCAGACCCTACCAAATAGTTTCACCCTCAATGCCGTCTATTAAGGCCATTACTGAAACGCACTACTGACCTGACCATGCAGTAAAAACGTGATGAATTAGAATGGATCGTGGTAAGCAAGATCTCCCTTAAATGTCAATCAGGTCAATGCCAGAAAGGTTGCAACAGGGTACTGACATGTCTGGAAACTTCACAAACTCTTGATAAGTTTTTGGCTTCTTTAAATCAGGCTGCTTGATATTTGGGAGACACATTCTATTGTCACTGTTAAGGACGCCAAACAACTTCTTGGACCCATTGTAAGCCTCCTAGTTTTCTTTATTTTACAACGCAATTTACTGACACAACGAGACTAGCTCTTACGTGTGCCTCAAAAGCACGTAACACAATCAAACCGGTCTCTACTTTTTTCCTTATAATTTGCTCCAAAATATACAATCTCAGCGCTGTTTCCCAACACCAACGAAACTTAATACTTCATTTCTGCCTAATTGAGAGACTATTGGTCACATGACGACGACTTTCACGCAGTGTTAATCTACGTCATTTTCTGAGCGTTTGTGACAAGGTTCGGCAATATGGCTACAGCTAAACGCTTGGAGTGTCTCAGGTTTAATTAAACACATTAAAAGTACTGCTTAACATTTACTAGCGATGGTGAAAAAGGCTCACTTGTGATTTGAAATGATTGCTTTAAAATTTAAATATTTGCCTAAATTCCTCAGGAAATTTAAGGGAGCTAAAATTCGTAACGAAGGCATGTGGAATTCGTGAGAGCATGTAAATTAAGAGGACAAACACAAAATTATAACTCCAAATAAATGTCGTGATGTCTAATGTTTGTAATTACTGTGTGTCTGATTCGGATCCTGAAATAAGAACATACCAAGAGAAATTAACTTTGTGGCTATTATTCAATGAGGCAATGCGATTCCAAAAGCACTGGCCAACATTGGAATCTCAAACACCTCTAAGCCCTGAGTTAATACTAGAATAGTTCAAGTAGAAATTTAACAAGATATGTTCATGCGTGTATACGGTTGTCAACTAGAAATGAGAAAATCCGACATTACTTTCAAAGTGCATAGCCAGAGGACAATTTATCCACGAATTTGTACATAGCCAAATAAAGTAGTGTCAGGATGTTTTGTCGAGTGAAAAAGTACTTTGATTGCATGTGTTACTAGTATCCGTACTTAATAACTAACAGAGAGTGGGTGCTTAATTTCGCAACTGTCCCCCATACTTAAGGCGCTGTTTACCCAATCGTTATTATGCTGGTGCATTACACGTGTGTACACCACAGGAGTCTCGAGAGCCTTAGAGTTTCTTCAAATAAACCCTTAGGCGTTTGTACAAGCACCAATATTTTGAATTTTTTTAAAAAAAAAGGTTTACTAAGTCCATTTAAGCACTGTTATGCAAATTTTAACATTACACACCATGGTCAAGCATAACATTTGCTAATTATCCGCCTTTGAACCTCTCCTGAAGACATTGGAATGATAGAAGGCCCTTAGTCAATACGTCGAAATGACTTTACGTGTGGTAATTTGTTGCCTGAACGCACGCCAGGTTAGCTGGCTCTTGTTATAGCGCGTACGTTTGATGGCCCAAGGTCTTGCTGACGATTCACCAGTTTCATGTAAATAGAGGTTCAGGGTCATTTCACTTCTGGGCAATTCACCTCGACTGGTGACTGAGACTAACCAGTCATCAAGAGTCCACATTTAAGGAATTAAGCATATGCTCCAAGTAGAAATGGCGTTACAAAGGAATAATAATAATGCAACGGTTATTGCTTTTTAGAAACAAGTGTAAATCCACCAAGAGAATGATTTTTAGAAGTGCTCTGCATAGTGACTGTTAGAAGGGTTCTACAAGTTGGAAGAATCCCTTGAGTTCACAGTTCTAAACACATAGAAAATTCCCGCCTATGCTACTGCATTACGCTAAATCTCCTATATTTAGTTGAAGAAAAATGATTGGAGGTTAAAAACTGTGGTAATTTTGGAACATGATATTTTGACTAGTAATTATGAATAATGCCTTCGTTATGTAGTTGATTTGGTGAATATTGGGTAAAAAGCTTAGCGAGAAGTCTCTCAGGTCATTTTGTTCATGCTATCCACACTGGACAATTCAAAAGCTAGGCTGTTACTTTTGCTGCGTGGTAACTATACACGCTATTATTCCATTCCCCACACTGCACCTTTTGAGCTCATTGATTTTTGCCAGTAATGTTTAAATTGGTAAACACATCATTCAAAAAGGAATCCCCAATTAAATCGAGAAACCAGAACATTAGTCATCGACGTTCTGGTCGCCTGATTTTGATCTCGGAGTTTATGAGGTGCCTAGGCCTCCAGGATTTTTGCCCTCATGACTCTGTGGGTTCATTGGAATGTGCGGAACTTCCTGAAAACATCGTTGGTGATTGCCATGGGCTATATTTAATTTACACCCCTTAAACTTCATCAGCGAAGGCTCGAGAATTTCCTCACTAAAGACGTACCTACAGGTGGAAATAATTTAATTCACGTTTAATCTGCCGTTTTTGAAATTACCGCACGTCCATTGACAACACAAATTCCTACAGTTTGCTAGGCTGTTCTTGACTCATACTCCGAGTCAGAAGCTATTTTCCAGTCGAATCTCAACAAGCATTCTGTTCTAAATCTTGGGGTAACCCCTCTCCAAGATGACGTAGAATTCGTTAATGCATTTCGAACTCAAGAAATGTTATTGGCATGACCCCCGATTTGGTGGCTATTCAAACATCCACATGTAACATATTACTTGCCACACAGTGCACTTGAGAACTAGGAGGCAGAAAGCACCCCCACAGACCCGCTGAAACGGGAATCAGGGACGGTAGTACTCTGGGACGTTAGTCGCCTCAGAAGCCTGGTCATTCTCCGGGGTAGCTGCTTCACTAGGAACCTTTCTAGTACTGTGAACGCAAACAGGTGTTTTGCGCATCTGTCATATGTAAGTGCCCGAACAAATGGCTACTCAGAGGCAACAACACCGACTTCAACAACGGAATCCACCATTTAAAAAATATGCAAGTAAAACATTGATTTTGGGAATCATAATCGAATATTTCGTTTCGGAATAGTGCATAAGGTATAATACCAAAACCCTTTTTAATAAAGGGTTTTAATTAAACATGTGAATTTTGGACTGGTCCCGAGATATCACGAACGTATACCTCTCCCTACTAAGGTTGTTTGCAGGCCGTGGTTATCTCACATTTAACCTAATAAACACCTTGTTGGTAAAAACAACCTAGTTGTAGAAGAAACATCAAAACACAATATCGTCCAAAATAGGTTTAGTACCTGAACGTTTGCAAATTTGACCAAAAATGGCGAGAAACGCAACTTTGGGAAAGATACTTGAGGAGAACAAGGCCATACGACTCAATTACCAATCTATGTTTCTAAAGTAAAACAAGATGACTTGCTTTTTTGAGGAATTCCACATTCTCGACGATGGCTTCAGAAATCTCATTAAAGCGGAGAGACGATTGCGATTCATTGTGAATTATGAAGACCAAGAGACCTGAGGCCAAAGTACTTTTGAAGGTTGCCTGAAACAAAGAGCGTGCAGAAACCATGCAGTCAAACGGAGCGAGCTTGAAGAGAAAGTGGACCCGCTAAAAACGTCAACAATCACGGGAAGACAAGAGATCAAACTCAGACAACGGTTTAAACTGTGTGAACGGAGTTGGACACTCAACCAGGAGGCCATAACAACAGGAAATGTTAAGTCAATGTAACGCTGGGAATATGCGAGGACGCTACCACTAGAGTTATCCTGTGATGAAGAATGTTTTTAATGTTATACACAATGCATGGTCACAGTGATGTACTCTCATATTCAGCAAACGTATTTAACAAGTGTGCACAATTGTTTTCAAGTATTTTTTTGTAAAATTGGGATTAAGGAGCCGTGCTCACAAGTTGAGATTTATAATCCTCCACGGCCGACCGCAGATCATCGCTTATCTGACACTGAACGAAGGTTATGATTCCAAGAAGGCGTTTATAGGCTTCCACAATGCCCCAAATATTTTCCTCACTAGAGTAATCCGTCTTAAAACGGAACTGAAGGACACTCCCTTCCTTGTATGAACCTATCGGAAAAATATTAACGAAGCGGAAAGATGAAGTGACCTACACATTTTCAAGGGAGTTAAATAAGTATAAAAGAGTCTGAGAGTTGTCAGCATCTCTTCGAAGCAGAAAGGACCCCTCCAAAGGGGGCTCTTTTGAACAAGAGTAGTCAGAGTAGCATGATTCAACAATGAGGTATCATAAATGAGCTCATCCTCCATGTCTACAAAAGCGTGAAAAAAAATGCATTAGAATACGAACACTCGAATTACAAAAATTATGCCTAACCGAGCGATCGATTGTAGGGAAACAATATTCACAAAGAAATAACTGTGATGTGACCATTAATCGCCTATGAAATGGAAATCGACTGCATTATTGCAGTATACTTTTCGGTTGCAAAACGTCTGACAGAAATATCACAATGTTGAGGGAGGGGCGCACGTGTCTAATAATAAAGGGGTCTTACTCTAAATGTAATAGGTGGGGCAGTATCTTTACAAAGGTATTTTGAGAGTTCAGTGGACATAGTATATTTTTCTGAGGTTTCAACGTATGACCAGAAAAGTGGCGGCAAGTTAAAATCAACGGAAATTAGAGGATTTTGATTTCCACGTGACTTACTTGGGATGGCAGGATGCTGAGGGATTAAGCGTAGTAATATAATGGAAAAAATAACAACACTTACTCAAATATTTACCTTCGTGGTCTACAGTTGTAGATGATTTTATTGGGCTTACAGGTCATGAACCAACGCGATCGCGTCAAATTAAGGTAGGAGACAATACACAAAACAGGGAACAAACACTACGCCTGAGCAATCCAACATAGAAAATAAAAATGCACCCCAGTATTTGCTGCGCATCTTAATACGCACGTGAGACACCATAACGTCCATTGACTAGGAGGTCATACTTGTCACATATATCAAAATTCTAGAAGTCTAATTCACACTCATATGGACAGAGGTGATTAATTTACTCTACCGCGCAAAAGATGTCGAAAAGTCAAGTTTCGGTGATCTAACGGATGCCAAATAAGCTTCTAGAACCGTCGATAACACATCCAGCTAAAGAATTTGAAATATATTTAAGAAAAAAGGAAGTGGGGAAAAGTGATTCGCTTTGAGAATATTCGTTAAGAGTGAATCAATATCCATATTTTGTCACATTTTTTTACGATTTGGGCACACACACCCGAGCAACAAATCAACCTCATAGCGATTACTTTGAAAGATTAGGGTCGTAGTCACCACTCAAAAATAAAAAAAAGGATGATTTGCCTTTTTGGGGGTGATAAAAACTACCGGATTCATTCTCATCATAGACGACATAACTACTGGAATCCTTAAGTAGCCCATGAATACATCTAATATGTAGACTTGGTAACTGACGTAAGGATGAAGAGACGATAATAGTCTTTTGAAAAAACTGCTTTGGCAGTGGTTTGAGGAAACAGAGTATGTAGTATCAAAGCAAGCTAAGAGTATTGGACGGACTGAATACTGAAGTTCAATGACTCAATAATTACACAACAGTAATTCGAACAATTGAACCAAAAGCACTACAAATGAGTTCTTAATAAGAATTGACTGATCGATTTCAACAAGTGGTCAAAAGCTCAGAAGTGTGATGACAAATGTAGTTTGCCGTAGAAAACGGGTATAGAGGAAATCACAGGATAATTATTTTAAACTAGACTTGTCAAAGGAGAAAGTAATCATAAATGTCATATTAAAGCTATTAAGAATAAAGCAAGGGTCCTCTAAAACGAAAAGCTTGAGTTAATTTTAGAAAAAGATAGTAATTCATCTTTTCGTTGTGGTGACATGTACACTAAAATGCAGCTTTGATTATAACGCAAAATGTCATTTCGAGCACATAAAAAAGGTTAAACATTTACTTTTACTAAAGTTCGGCAGTACTTTACTAAATTAAAATACAATCCCCTGCTGATTTAACGTACACATTAATGACCTCGAAAAGTCCTCTCGGATGCAGAAAAACGAAACTATAGAAAGATGAGTTTTTATATTATTCTTAAGTACAACTTCTGAATGTGGCTTATGTGTAAAACGCTATGAAAAAACGTCAAAATATTTTATTAATTTCTTCCTTATTTGCAGCTGAGACTTTCGAGCAACTAAGAAATAAAACCTGTTCTCATCAGATTTAATGATAAAGAACTTGACGTCTTGTCTAGCCTCTTTGAATGGCATATAAGTAGCAAGCTTAATTGTTTGACAGGTTTATTTTTGTCCACTTCCCACATGCATATTTATGCTTTGCTGTTACACCGTGACCATATCCGTGGTAATCAGGCAGGTCTAAATGAATGCTTTTTCTATCATTGTGTCACCTACACGATTGAAAAATGCGACGACAGTGCTACGATGCACGAAATGAAGGCGGATAATTTTTTCAAAATTATATTATGGATACTCGAAAATATCTGCAAATTATAATCCAAAGTGTTTCTGTAGCGCATATATGTTCACTAGTTATACGCTGGCTGTTGCCACATTTCGCTATTCAGAGAGCTGAAATTGCTAGTTTTACCTTTAGATTACCTGACAACCTCTTGACTAATTATCTGAAGATTTTGCTCTGTCGTTAGAAATTAAAGTATTTCCAAAACCCGGTAGTTTGGAATGCAATGACCATGGGTTCAGATAAGGCCACATGGTAATGAAAAAAATGTTTGCAAGTCTATTCATTTTCGAAGTAACAAGTTGTGCTACCGATGGCCTTTAATACTAAGATATTAACCCAGTTTTAAATATAGTAATATAAATGGGCTCTTAAAGAAACGAAACTCGAATTATGTAAATACCCTGAACGACATTGATGGCAACATTCTCTCCAACTACCTAATACTTGACCTGTGGAGCTACCTAAATAGTTCAAAGAGTTTACGTGGATTTAGTTGTTTATTCCCTCTTATGGCATATAATCGCCAATAAAAAAGCCTTTAAATCTTTAAATACTATTTTCGATCTATTGTAATGTTGACTTGCTGGGTTAAATATAAGAACCAATAATGATGACAAATTTTAATGTCTCCTAGACCTACGTCCTGCTCGAGCTTTACAAAACCCATTTTAAAATTTGTCTGTTACCTGCCTTGGTACTGCATTAAACCCCTTATTAACTCGCAGTACTGATTTATTGAAATGAACACGGTTAAAATGCCCAGCCAGTATATTTGCTGTTTTTAAAAAAAATTAAAGACATCGAATGAGAAGCAAGGCAGTCATGAAATACTACCTCTGCGACTGGATCTAAATAAAGGAAATTACTTTCAGAAAAAAAACAATATCCAGTAATAACACTGTCGAACATACAATCTATGTATAAGAGGGCGCATAAATCTCTTGAAGCAGAAAAATTTTAAGCCTTATTGCAAACGTAAATAATCTATTTCGATTGATTTAAAAAAAGTAAAATTCTTATTTAGCCGTGCAAGTATATATATATATATATCCTTAGTGGAATGGTAATTTTGCAAGCAGCCCTGGATGAAGGGGTCTCATAAGGACCACGACATCATCCAATTCCCTTCCGTGGCGTTAACCACAAAATAGATCTTAATACGCCATACCTAATTTTGGCAAGGCATTACAGCGGAGTCAGTTTGGGTGGTAGGAAATGAAAATCGTCAATTTGACAGTTATTTACTTATACGATGTTGTGACAAATTTGTTAACTGAATAATACAATTGCTTAAGTACTTTGTTATACTTTAGGCTTCGCTGAAGTTGCCAAATTTTTGCGAAATCGTAGTGCTGCCAGGCAACGGGTTCATCGATGAGCAATGCTGTGTGCAAAAAGATGTTGGAAATCGTTGTGCGTACTATCAATTCAGTCCCTCTCTTGATAGCAGCCTTCGTGGCGCCCTAATGCGGGAGGGGCAGTACCTCCGCTTAACTATCTCACGACAACTTGAAGTGTGTTTGGAAAATTCGAATTCGCCACCACAGCCCGTCACTTTTATTGTGCCTCCCGTCGTGGGGAAAGCTCTCAGCTTTACTGGAAGACTGCCTGTTTCTGTCGTCGGGGTGAGTCTTGAAGAGGAAATTCAAATCTCCGAAGTCGGTAGAGACACGCCGGCCAAACTTCGGTCTGTCCTGGATTGGGGTAGGCAAGAAAACTCAACCCAGTACGTTTTCCAACTGCTGCTAGAGTTTCCGCGAGCGAATTGAGTGCTGGGAATACAATTTTTGAATCGGTGAAAGCGGGCATACAGAGCGGTGGATTTACAGTCGTTTATTCAATTTGCCGAAACGCATAAAATGAGTCACATCAAAAGGTCATAAGTTGCGAATGACTTGAAGTGGATGTGTTTTCATTGGGAGAATAAAAGGCGTTTTTGACATTCTTTTGTGCTTTGCTAGTTAAAATATCCAATATTAATGGAAGGTAGTTAGTGATTTTAGTGATAGCAAAATGAAAAGAGAGAAGTGTGTGCATCGTCGTCCCTGCCCGCCACTTACAGGCTTGGGGCTTTTGTAAACCAACCTGTTGCCGGACGCTGGGAACCCGAAACACGGCCCTCAGCTACGTTTTAGTCATATTAAGCCAATTGAATGCCACTTCCGATGCCAGGTGCACTACATTAACGCGATCCCATGGTGGACTACAGTGTTTTTGGTTCGGTTGGTTTGCTGCACAATTATCGGTTGTGGAATGTGTAGGCAAATGCTTGCATTCCATAACTTGTAAGGACTGGGTATTGACAGTGACCAAATCATGTCAAGTCACCCAAGGTTGTGCAACTTAAATTCATTCGGTCTTTCTAGTCGATGCGATGGAGCCCACATTTAATTTTGCTGTTGAGCAAACGAATGCGATTGGGTTACATGCGAACATTTAGTTTGGGACCTACCTAAGCTCCATCATGTCCGCTACATAAGAAGGTTAAAGGTAACTCGATATCTGGGGAGTTATAGCACTCGGGCACAATGCCTTGAACGTTTGAAGAGGCTCCATTTCGTTTCTGCTCTTCATAAACCTTTCTAACTGGCCTTTAGACAGACACTGTTTCCAAGCTCCGATGGGTGCCGTATTGCAGCACGAGTACCATTGTTTCAATCCCACAAAAATTGGATTCCTTGTCCCTTGACACACACACAGTTCAGTTTTGCACGCCATCGATTCGATTTGCTTGTTTATCCTCAAATTAACCTTCATTGATGATCACGCCTTACTTGTTTACTCATTGTCCCCTCTCATTGTGCCACGTGTTTGGCTAAAATATGTTCACATTTCAAAATAGCTTCGTGTGTTGGTATAATAAATGTTGTTTTCAGTTAAAGGCTGTGGCTCGCACATATGCACAACTGCGAATCAGAACACGCATTCGCCTTGCGTCATTTCAATATTTATTCCTCCTCACAAGTACAGTAGTAAACAATCGGTCGCTTTAGAGGTGTGAGCCGAAGCATATTCTAGTAACGCTTGGTGAAGCACTTTGACCTCGCTGACAGGAATTCTAGAAACTTTCACCGTATGACCTTTTGGCTTGTCCTTGCATAAACGCAAGTTGACGAGATAGGGTTAATTAGGAATCCGCCCATAAGCAACGTTGCTTTAAAATTTGCATCAGAATTTTTTTCCTTCGTCCCAGTTGGCACTTCACCCTTTCAGTTTTAGGTGTTTGTGTTTGTTGTAGTTCCTTGCGAGTGTGCAGTTAAGAACGCTTAGTTTTCTTTCTACCCGATTTCGGGGCTTTGTTCTGGGAAAGCGGAAAAAATCGGCTTACGCACACACACACGTGTGCGTTTCTTGCGGACTGTGCTATTCAGTTCGGTTGCTTTCTGTCACCAAGATTCAGTCTCCCACTTTCTATCGTGAAGCTGCTGTCGCACAACTGGAATACCTTAGCCAGTGCCCATTTTCGTGATTCTAATGTAGCATCACATCCATCCATTCTGCTGAGTAGAGTCAGTCATCCCCGAACATCGTAATAGCATCACAGTAACCTCCTGATTCTGCTACTCACCAACTAGCGGCTTTGCATTTTAACTGTAATGCTACCTCGGCGCAATGCGCTTGTCTGACGGGCTTTTAATGTCCTATTTTAGAGAGCGTCGCCAGAAAATTTGTCGCATAAGCAAGCTCTTGGGTGACCTTTCGGTACAACTTGGTGACTTTGATGCTGGCCACTGGCATTATCGAAATGCCATTCGGTTTTCAAGCTCCACAGACCCAGCTATCTGGCAGTCGGGTGAGTAGCCGTCTGGATGTCAATTAGTAGTGTGAGGGATGATGTTAAACTAGAGGTTATGCCTTACAGCAACACTGGTTGGAATCGGCGCATCGATATACCTCCGTCAGATCGATGTGTTGGGGAAGCATCGCTTTTTCGAAGTATGCAATTCAGAGCAATGTAGCCAACGACTTCGACCCTCCGAACGCCTTTCGCCCATTCTCAGTGCCACCGGTACCGCCTTGACGAGGCTCATTAAACCTAAACTTTCTATCACTCTGGTAGATCTGATGGAAATGTAGCTAGTGTGGCTCCCAGGGACATTTTCATGCGAGCACGTTCTAACATTTATGAGAGTGCCCCTATTTCCTGTGCTGGTCGACCTGGACTTGAACTTGGATCTGATTACTGAATTGAGGTTCTTTTCAGGCAAACACTCTCAGCAACGTGTGTGATTCCGATTGGCGATTTTGAACGTGTTCATTGGATCGCAATCAGGCGAACGGAGGTTTTTCGCTCAGACGCATCATCATAGCAAACAGTCGTCCTAGCTCACTTTCTACTTTTGTGGCCCAGTTTACCTGATGTTCTGTGTTCATCCTAATGTTCCGGACATTGTAGGTTGTCTCGCCGGGTTGGATCTTGCAACTACAGAAAAACACACTGTCAGAGTTCCGAAAACGCCATCACGGGCTCTGTTCCGCGCGATTCAGTCTCTTCAAGGTCTGCGTAAGGTGAGTGGTGGTCTGTGCGCAACATGAGTCCTATCCCGTCCCTTTATTTACCTTTTGAATTTCCCTCGTTGCCTCAAATAGTGCAGTTTGTATCCTCGGTCCTGGCTGAAATCTGCATCACTCTGTGGGTGGCCAAAGTTGTTAAACTAAATACCACGATTATTTTTGGTCAAAATCGTCATCTTGTTGGTCAGCATAATAGTTGTGGAGGTGTAAATGTGCGAGATCAAGCCCCTGGGTTTGAACTGAACATGTTTATTTGGTCAGCGCATCCGTAATTGCGGAACAAATGCAAGTGTTTAGGATCGATGTATTGGGTTGCGCTCACCGGCAATTCTTCATGCAGATTTCTTATCGCCGTAAACCTGAACCTATATGACTTACAGGCAAGCTCGGTCCCTCGGTGTGTGATTGAGACTGCGTACAAAAGCGCCGACTATTTGGTAACGGCCAAGGTAAGCGTCTTGCAAACGCCGCTTCAGCGTGCGTAGTGGTGTTCATATTTACTTGTTTGCTTTCTTTCTAGAAGAGGACTAAGGCTGCCAGGCTACTTGGGTCCCTTCAGACAGATGTAATTCCACAAGGGGTATGAACGTGTTTACTTTTCAATGGACTTTGTCAATTGCTTATTTTGGCATCCACTCGACGTAGATCTTTCTTGTGGCTAGTGTTGTCCACCTCTCTGGAGGAAAATCTTGCTGGAACAGTAGTGAGTCATTGTCGAATTTACTGACGAGGAGGCTGGTATCCATGGAGAGGTTGAATTATCAGAAGATTCGACTGTTTTACTGACGATGGCACTTAGTTTATTGGCTGTAAGTCAGTACATCCCAGAGTCATTTAGAATAGCCATGTATTTGGAGCTGCGTCTCGGAATTTGGGATGCATAAACTGTAAATCACCTGGTTACGTTTAGGTATTATCCCGCCATGAATGCATCATTAGACAAATCGATGGGAAGACCGGAGTGCAGTTCACTCTCGCTAAATCGGGAACTGAACCAAAAATACTTCGGATTCTAGTCGAGCCCTGATAAAGTTCTGTTCTATAATGTTATTAGTGGTTTCTGTTCATTATCTCCTTTTTTTGTTCGTCCTTCTATATAATTAATGCTTTTTTTCAGTGATAATTGATAAATTTTGTGGTTCTATAACTTTTAAGTAATTTTTTCAAGTTGCATTTTTTGAACATTTTACTTCTGTTTAGTCCATTATTTGGATTTGTACTGTTTCATTTTAATTGTTATTCCTGGAATGTCTGATTTTGCGACCCGAATTTTCCGTAGTCTTATGCTGCATTTAAGTGAGTTAATATCTGTTTGTATAAACCTAGCTAATTTTCGTTTCCCTTTTTTACGTTTGTATTTGACTTTTGCTCAGCAACATAATCCAAATGACAATCATTGAGAAAGTTCAATGTGGCTTTACTGTGACTAGTTTTGGTTCCATTTATTCAGCCTGCTAAATTATGAATGCTTTTTTTTGTAGGTATGAATGTGCAAACTATTATTCATGACGATATATGATCCATGCGGGTGATTTCTGCTGTTGAGTAGAGTCATGCTTTTTTTGGATTCTGTAACAGTATCCTTCACCAAAAGTCCCCAAAGTCCCAAATTGGTTAGCGATAACCGAGTCTACTTTGTAGGCTTGTATTTAATAAGACTTTTTCGAATGGTTCAGATTGGAACTTTTCCTTCAGGCGTTCATTTAGTCACTTCTTCCTGATAAGCACATTTTTAAACGAAATGAGGCTAACATATTGGCCCATCCTTCATAATTAGTCGAACACGCTGTTTTGGCAGCATAATTTAACGAAGAACACGTTGGTTCTTTGACGGTTTCGTGATTGTTTTAAGTACACAAATGCACGAACAAGTGGGTGGATGTCTTGGGAGTTAATTCGTCCAGGTCACTGTGATTTTACAAAGGCTGCGTTAGCTGTACACATGACTCTGCCTCAAAACCTGAAATATTTTTCCTTAATTATGTGCCAAAATCAGAAGTACAAGTCTAAGGCAAGACATCACCCTCCTTACTTTCGAAAAACTCGATGCATTAAAAGACCCGTAAATTATGTAATCGCAGGTAAACATCCAATAGATAAGTGTGTGAGTCGATTTTCAATGCACTATCATAAAAGGTTTAACACTCAGCATGCGTGAAGTGAGTCAATGATAAATGTCAATTGCGTACAAACGTATAATTGCAGAACGCCACTCCTTTCTGCAGTGTTCCCCATTTATTCTGGCAAGTCAGGTTCATCGCGACGTTATAGGTTAACCTAAACCGGTCCAGTTCAAGTGTACCGGGCACGCAATTAAACCTTAGTGAATTTTAGAACATAGAGGTATTCGTTTTAACACCTTTAACTTGGCATTTAAAACAAAGACTAAAATTAATTTCCCAGAGCCATGTACTTTTGATTAATCTTTTTCTAAGTCCTGATACTTTCAAATTAGTTATTTAACACATAAAAAAGGTTAAGATAGAGATCAGATGATTTGGTCAACCAGAAATATATTTTAACATTATTGAACCCAACGGAATGTAATCAAAACTTGGAACAGCGATTTGCAACTAAGCAATTTAGACAAAAGCGTTAAATAGATGTGCTCTCTTGAGTTATAATGTTTGGAGTTTATGTTTTGTATTTAGCATGATACAGACAAATAGCTCCCGAATGTAGAGTAGCGATTCAATGCACTCACCGCGTCTCATTCAGTGGTAGCATTTACCTATGATTCGACGCCTTTCGAAATTCTATGGCTAAATTGTAATGGCTTCACTTTAGCGCTACCTTACAATCATCTAGTTCGCAGCTCGTTAAAACCCGAGAAGAGGGGAAACGATGGCGACGGGGAACACGACCGTTCATTAGTATCACAACAGCCAAATGCCTTTGTGTGCGTCTGAGCACGCGTGCGTAACAGGCCACTGCTAGCAGGAGCCAATAAGAAAAGGGGTGAATCATTTGTGCAGGCGGGCCATCATCCAAGCATCACTCACCCGAAATGGGGCTGGTTTCTACAAACTCGCCACATAAAGTGTGACTTGAAAACAAGGCAGCAGCAACTAACTAACAAAGATTTGCACATACACATAACAAATATCACAATACAAAGCAAGCAAACGTTTTTAGCCAACGCATTATTTAACAGGTTTTAAGGGGTCATGTGGGAAAATTTAAAATATAGTTGAAAATACTTTACTTGTAAAGGGGGAATTCTGCATCTAAAAATTGTTAAAATAAGGGACCAAATACTAGGACTCAAACATCTAAATATTTATCTGTATTCCAGTTTTGTGTCCTGAGCAGCAATATAAAATATTTTGCAAAAAACAAAACGCAGTTTTATGAAAACGTGAGGGAAATTAACCGTGTCTGGAAGTTAATTATATTCGTAAATTTGTGGGGTCATTGCCTATTTGATAATTGATTAAGTTCCCATTCATCCCTTTAACAAAACTTTTTGTAGGTCTCAGTTAGCTGCCAAATGGCCAATCACCGAGAAGTGGTTGCGGGATCGAGCATATAAGCGGCCAATAATTTCTGGAATTAGCCAAAGAAGCCCTCTGACAGATATTTTTTGTCAGTATGATCTCCAAAGACATATTTATTATTGTTCCATTTTTCAGCGCATTGCTTCTTTCTGGGTGCTTTTCTGAGGGCGAGTCCAGCCCGATTTTACCCGAATTAGTCGCAGGGCGAGGTCAAACACTCCAGGATATATGTATGTTTTTCATTTCAAAAATGTATATCTTTTAAAATTTATGCTGCTTAGCAACGAAAGATTCAGAGCCATCAAGGACAAAATTTACACTTAAGACAGCATGCAGTTTTTTTCTAATTCATAAACTAATGTATGATCAAAATAAGTCTTGGTGAAATCCCTGTGTGGTATTAAAATTCATCCACCTTTAACTGATTTATAATTGTTAGTTGTTTAAAAATTCCTTAAGGCATTAAGAATTTGCAAGTTGTTACTGTAGGATACAGGGATGACCAGTGCTTCTCCCACTAGAAACTACGGTTAGAGTCACCATTGATTTTCGAGAGGGTCGACAAAGTTTTAGCATTTAAAGCTCATAGAGTTGTTACAGATCTTTATTGAATGAATTCCCTCTCATAAGCATCATGGCCTATCCAGAATTAAATTTTGTCTGAACATCACCCCTAAAAACTGTTTATTTATCATAGGGGTCATTGCGTCGCAAAATAATACTTTTTTTTCAGAAACTGTGGTCTGTTTACATGCATTGATCCTTTTTAAATTGCCACAATTGGAGGATTTCACATGGTTGCACTTTGAAATATGCTGATGTAGATTATCACTCAGACAATTTTTCTGTTTTGTACCATTTGTGCGTGTCGTTATTAAAAAGGGGTGTTTTCATGTCAATCCAAACTTTGAAATTTTGTAGTCGGCGATATGCTAATCATGAGTAAATCCAACAATATCTGATGTACCAATAATGCGACTAGTCAGTAATCACACTAGGTACACCTCATGTACCTCAGCAACAAAAGATATAATGCAAAGCGTATTCGGGTCCACCAAAATGCGTCTATCCAATTTATGTTAATCGTTTCATCGTTTATAGGCGTGGACCTTAGTATTGTGACTAATAATTATAATCGGTGCCGATTTGTAGATCGATTTGTCCACCAACAGTATCTGATGTGTCTCAAGTGCCCTAACTGTCCTTGTGAAACAAGTAAGAAATATTTATTATAGTCTTATATTTTTTCTTTATAAGAATAGCTAATTGTCAAATTCTCTTATTCTGAATGATTTGACATCAAAGCCTTTCAGACAATTCGAGGAAGCTTCAAAATGTTCGCGTCGCATGTTGATAAATGGGATTCACTAAGCTTATTAATTTGCAATTTTGACCCCTCGACATACAACAGAAGCATATCTATCCTGTGACGCAGATCTTTTCTTAAACTGCAAATAAGAATACTTTTTGTGCTATTTGTAATTATTGTGGATAGAAGTAGTTACTTGTGGTTTAATTGAATTTTACTCTTAAGCTAAAAGAAATTTTTTAGTTAACTGATAACAGCAAAAAATCTAATAATGTATTATCAATTCGTATCTGTTAATTTTTTTAAACGATTTCCACGGTTACTTGCCTCTCCAATAAACATGTCTATGCTTGTACTCAAAATACCTAACTTTTTTCTATTTCGATATCGGCATTTGACGAAATGTCACTCAAATTGCCTAAGATTAACCACAAAGGCTAAAACATTAATGGAGCCAAGTCTGGGGAATACAAGGGGTGTAGTAGGACTCCCTATCGGAGAGCTTGGATTGTAGCAATTGTCATGTCAGAAAGTGAACCAGCCATGAACTTCAATGAAGTATTCTTCAACCCAAAATAACTAAAATGTAAGCAGTGTGTTATTCGTTGCTGGTCATCGTTCCAGCAGTTTAATTTTTTTTCGAAATATTGCTGTAATATCTCTATTTAGTGGGTGGCATTTAGGATTTCGCTTTAATTTAAACGCCTAACTTTCGTCGTCCTCCTATTACACACTTAATATAAAAATCAATGAATGAGACAGAATTTTAATCACCTGGTAATTACGTGCATCCTGTTAGAACAACAAAAAGTCAGGGAGGAAGGCTCCCAACTGCAAGGCATAAAAAATAATCAGTACTTAATTAAATTGTTCTATGTGTGGGTTCGTGCAGTAAAAATTAAAAACGCCCAATATCAAGAGCGATTTTATCATTTCAATCTTAATAAAATAATTTAAATAATACTACTCAAACGACTGGATTATATTCCTGTTTTTAAAATACAGTGCCATCAACAAGTTTCGACATTTAAAAGGGTTTTCCGAAAACAATTTAATTTTAAACTAAATTTGGAAAACAATCCATGCTCAAGAACCTATATTTTCACAGCCAGTGCATTGTTTTTCAAGGTGGACAAAAAGTATGCTTGTATACCATTTTTATCAAGTGAATAATTTTAATACTCACTTCATTATTTAATGATTTCAGAATTTATTGTTGAAAGACGATCAAAGGAATTAGGCTTTCCCAGGTACAATGACAAGAGCAGAATTACAGAGTACATTGTGAAAATTATATAGACGAGAACCAGTGTAATCGTCTTGAATACTAGGCTGGTCTGCTGATTCAATAAATATATTTTAGAAAGTAAATGGCTACTTTTCTTCTTTCGGGTATCCACATCGTGCATTTTAGGTCCGTCAATACTTCATCTTTCTAACCTCGAACTCCCATCCATGAATCATTAAATGGATTAACATGCTAAGTAATAAAAGTAGTGCACTTATTAGATCATTCATCCATTTGTTGTGACAAAGTACCGCTATTTTCCTAGGTAAATTGTCACATGGTTCCCCGCAAAAAAGAGCTAATTTTAGTAAAAACAAATCATCATAATCAGACATGCTAGCAGTATTGGGGCCGCCATGTTTTTTGGTTAAGAGGCCGTTTCTTGGTATTTGGAAGATAAGGGAATGTGTGGAGCAGAACATTTAAGAATGTTGCATTATATTCAGATTTGGCAAGAGTTAGCAAATCAAATTAAGTCAAGCAAAACATTGGCTCCTATTTCTCAATAAATCGATTTTGTGCAACCCAAAAACATAGGTTAACATAACAACTTAACGCTGTACTTTGCATTAAGTCACTATCCCAAACAGGCTTCACTGGCACGCAGAATAGGACTGCTACCACTTACATGGCTACTACCATAAGCGGAATGGTGAAGCCAAAACTGAAAGCTCAGATCGTCTGATGCCCAACCAGGTTCGTGTGATGCAAAGCTCACTGCTTGATGGAAGTCTGTCCAAAATTAGTTTTTTTTTATAGAAATAAAGCCACGTAATTCGAACCTCTCGACGAACGTTCGTATAAAAAGTGTGGGGTAATTTTTCGGTGATATAATGTCACTGCAGTTTCAAGCAATTTCTGTTATTAAGGTAAGGTTCGTCTTGAAATGCCCAGAAAAGAGAAGGAACTTCATCGGCGATGGTGTCGAAGTTTAAAGTACAGCTAAACACACTATACACAAGTGCATACAAGACCATAAGTACATGAGCCACATGCGTGAATGAGATAAGATAGAATTACGGCTGGTAGGTTTCGACAAAGGGAGTTCAACTCCATGACACAGAGGGCGGCTAGGGTTGGTAAGTCCAACGTCGCAAACTTCGTTTCGCAGTTGTCTTCTGGGTGAGACCACCTTCCTTATAGCACTGTTTGGCGGACTCCGACGCCTTTTTAGTTATTTAATTTTATGAAATACAGTAATCGTAGTGGAAGGGATCAAAGGTATATTGTTGAAGTAAGCACATACTCAGAATTTCCAATAACATTTTCGTTGACAGTGTACAGATAGAAGTATTTGTGATATTCCTCTGTAAAAATGGCAAACGCGAACTTGACGCACGTGCAGCAATATCCTTCAAGCTCTTTTGTCGCATTAGTAATGCCAACGAAGCTGGTAAATAAAAGAATATGTTTAATCGTCAATTTGCTCATTTGTCTGACAATGCTTGATCCCCTTGGGATTAACTGTCGGATTAGATGCCTGTGCAGACAGGGCCAACAAATGTATTTACTTATTCTGCAATGCTCTGTGAAGATATACTCAACGTTGAATTAAATCAAACCGTTCCAGCACTTCGGTCTCGACAATACCAAGGAGACGCAAACGCGCGAGCAAATTGAATACTAACTGAAGACACAGGCACGAAAATATTTATAAATTGAGTGTAGATAGAAAAATGTACTTTGGAAGCAGATAGCGGAATGGCACTCGTAAAGGTAAATGAAAATATTGGAGTTAGCACCAAATTTAAACGGAAAAATTATTGAGATGATTGCAGAGTTTAGATAGGAGGTACCGAATCCCAATGCTCCTTTAAATTTCTAGTGCTATGTAAAGCTTTATTAGTGAGAGCAATCGGCCCAAAAAAATAGTTAGTCTAGATAATAGAGTTGTTGGGTTAGAATCAATATTTAAGACTCTTTTCTCCAGAATTAAGAAATGCTACCTTTTAGATGGCTTTTACAGCCTTTTCTGGAATCCAAGTGACACGACGAACTGCATCTGCTTAATCATGATTTGAACAACTCTGATCCAGATAATTAAGACTGATTAACACAAAGTAAGGAATTGTCAGAATGAACGTAGAAATAGTTTGACGATATGAATTGGTTCCAGTCTGGAAAATCATTGATTCACATATTCATGCGGTTCAGTGGGCTGCTGGTGCATTTGGTACCATTAAATATGGTCTAATCATTTATGAAAGACATAGCCAGATGCACTCCTCACCGATTAATCCGAGCAGATCCTAGAATTTATTTTTCGACATGTTGGCATGGCTGAATCAGACACTGCACATTCTGCCTATAAAGCTAGCATCATGCCAACAATTCACATGGGCGGCTGCATTTAGACAAACCAGTTCACAACAAAATTGAATTGACCTCTATTTCAAACAAATCTAAACGAGACGAGTCCACCCAAAATCTTAAATTACTGGCG